CCCCCCCCCCCCCCCCCCCCCTTCAGTTTCGTCGCTGCTATTTCCGACTCCTGCCTCAAAATCTGCCTTCTTTGACCGTGCTCGACCAAAAAACAGGTTTCGATTTTGGCCGGCATGACGGCGGGGGTAGCCGGCGCCATCGTCTCCCAGCCGGCGGACACAATCCTCACCCGGATCAACACCGTCGTGCCCAAGTCGTCGCCCGTACCAGCGGCGGCGGCCACTAGACGCAGGCCTTGGGACTTGAAGCCTTCCCTCGCCGGCAGCGTAGGGTCGTCATCATCCTCAGCAGCAGGGGGAGGCGTGTTCGGGAGGGAGGGCGTTGGGTTGATGGAGAAGAACACTGCTAGTGGTGGGGGGNGGGGGGGGGGGGGGGGTTGAGGATAGTGCGGGTCCCCCTGACTGGAAGGAGGTTGTGCGGGAAGTGTTCGAGGGGGAGGAGGGAATCGGCGGTTTGTTCAGGTGAGGGGGGGGGGTTGCTTACAGCTGTGCGTGCCGTAATATTTAGACCATTGACCTCGCATCCCCACAAAGCCGGGAAGGAGAACGCCGGGTTCTTACCGGACCGGACTCTCACATCACCAAGCGCGTAGCACCGTGAGATATCCGGCGAGTCGTGTCTGGTGTGTGAAGTTGATCTAGCTACATACTGGTAAATAGTCCTCTGCTTCAACGCCGTCTCTCTTTTGACACCATCTCTCTCCCTGCCGCCGCCACCGCTGCTGCTGCTGCTGCTACTGCTGCTGCTGCTGCTGCTGCTGCTGCTGGCAACCTTCGTGTTTTGCCCCCGACTGCTTGCTGTAGTGGATTGGGATTGAGGGCAGTTTTCTTCGGAGCTGCCATCGCGCTACAGTTCTTCGCCTTCGACTACTTCAAGGTGCTCCTTCAGGTGAGCTTTAGACAGTCTCCTTTTTGCGTTCGTGTTTTGGTTCATCAGGCTGATCATACCTCGTCCAGATTCGTCGTCGTCGTTGTTGCTGCTGTTATGTTTCGTCTATGCATAACTTCCCTTCATAAAACGTTCCGGTCTCCGCTCAGTACCTTTCAACGCCGGTACTAGTCCAGCTGGCGCGAACGCCTTCCGTGGTCACAAGCCAAGAACTGCAACTACCCGAGAAATATACACTTGAAGAAATACAGGAATCCCCGAACTTTTCTGCATGGTATGACTGGGTCGCTCTCTGAGAGCGGTCGCCCTACCTCCCTTACGGGCGATCTTGTACCACCCTCTTTCCCCCCGGGACCATTTTGCCTCTTCCTCTCTCATTTGCCGACGCCTTCCCGCGTGCTTCTTGCTGGACTGGAAAACGATTACAAACTCGTGCGTAACTAATCAAGTCTAATTTAATGTAATGTAAAGGTGGCCCCCGACGACCTCCAGCTGGTGCTTGACGTCTTCGCAGATCGACTCTCATTCTACCCCGGCGGTAAGTGACTAGCCTAGTCTACGGGTACACATTGTAAAATGTACTCTGGTACAGCACAGCAGTAGCAGTGGCTCCGGTGTAAGAGAGAGTTTGAGATAACCCTGACCCTTTCAGAGAGTGTCGTTGGCATCAGTGGCTTATCCCGGCTGAGTAAGAGAGCCGGATTCAAGATAGTTGCAGGGTTGCCTTGTCTCGACCCTTTCTGTTAAACCGTTCCGGGCGCGTCTCGTACGACTCGCTTTAGGGTTGCTGGGGTCATAAATTATGAGGCGGTTTTCTACAGCAGCCATCGCTGTTAAGGGTGCCCTGTACGTTATTTGCATGCGAACGCTTGCCCATCGTTCGTATTGACCCACAGCGAGAGGGGAGGCGCATGTTCGTTCAAAATGAATGTTTGTGCTGCTGCTGCTGCTGCTGCTGCTGCTGCTGCTGCTGCTGCAGCAGCAGTCAAATATCTCTCTCTTTGTTGGGTATTCGGACCCCCCTCTCCTCTTGTTCGAAGGGACGAACGGCTAATCCTTTCGGTTCAATCAGATCGTGCTCGCAACATGATTGATCTGTACCCCCCTCCACCCGCTTGACCTTCCGCCCCTCGACCGACGCTTCAGGTGGACCCTAACCCGCTCTGACACTTGCCGCTATCAACTCAAGCTCTGGAAAAGGCCACCCCTTCCCGTTGAAGAGGTTGCTCTTCTGAGCTACTGTTGTCTCGCTTGTGCAGGGAAACTTATTTGCGTTTTTTTATGGGAGCGTGACGTGGGAATGACGTGGGGATGAAGCAGAGAGACAAAGGGGGTGGGGGCCTCCAAGGAAGTTTTGGAACGGTGTGTCAGGGATCATCATCGCAGTGTCGATCGACGATCCGCTGTGTCACGGGACCAAACGATGGCTTGCTTGCTAGACAGCTCGGCGGTGAAATCTGGTTCATGCTGGACTTGTGCATGGTTGATCGAAACAATCGCCCGCGAGCCTTGAAGAAAGCCGGGGCTCTGATTGGTCGAGCCTCGATTGGTCCGAGATGTATGTGTCGATGAGCGTGCCTGCGATTTCCCGTGGTCGGTTGCTGGATTTTCGAGGGTGTACGGGGTGTGTTGGTTGTCTTGGGGAGGCTTGTTGCATGGTATTGCCTTTGCGAGATCGTTTGCCGCCGTTTTTTCCTCCTCGCGCACAAACTCTCCCCAGCACTAAAATGCTACTACGGAGTTTTGTTGGTCTGACTGCCGCCTGCGCTTTACCGGTGGTGGTCTACTCCTTGTGTCGAGGCGCCCCCTTGAAATCAAACATGGATCGGATCGAAGCGCGGGGAGGAAGCAAAAGGGCTGGTCATTTAGTGCTGGTTCCCTTCGTGGGTTGACAATAATTGGCGAGTCTGGATGTGCTGCGCCCAACCGGGCTTGGTAGCAATGGACTGCATTCGGTGTGGTCGGGTTGGGGGGGGGAAGGGGGGTGTTTATCGCGGAGGTTGGGTTGCACGATGAAACCTTGACCTACCGGTTGAGTTAAGCGATGTGTTTGTTGCAGGAGGCAAGCCGCTACTGTACTACGGTTTGCTGATGGAGCGCAGGAAAGAGCGGCAGCTATCATGTCTTGTCGGTTGGCAAGCGTTGGACTTGTACATTTTTGGGACTTCATGGTGACACCTAACCTAATCTACTTGTTCGTAGTATGCATACATGGATTGGACTTTTCTCAGGGTGACCCACCCCCGCGCTGAGTAGTCTAGACTTGAAACAGCATGCCCGGTGAGCTCTGCATGAGTGATAGTCACGGGCGCCTTTGGTCTTCGACAACGACAACGACAACCACGTCATGTCGACTTCTTTCGGCATGCATGCGTGTTTTTGTTATGATCAGCTTCGACAGCGCTAGCTGGCTCACCAGTGAAAAAGACGGAAGTCTCAGCGCGGCTGAAAACAGAACGCGCTTGTTGACCCATAGGTCACGTCGTCACCGGAGATCTACAGCTGTAGGCCATGCTCCGGACTAGGGCGGAATGCGTATTCGTCCCGTCTTTTCTCTTGGCGCAACTCAGGCTCCACTTGTCGGAACAATTTTGGCGCAACCAGACGCGGTCACAGGACCAAAACAAACAACACAGCTTTTCAACGTTTTATTAGTAGCCCCGCCTACTCCCCTTCTCTTCCCCCCTGCGGTGCGTTGCCATCGATTTTTTTTACTTTTTTTTTTCAACATACCGTGGCGGGTCAACAAAATGTCACCCAACACCCAAAACACTGCGATTTTCGACTGCACCATCGACACAGAAAACTCTACTGGCTGAACTGTAGTACGGCGACTATATTTCGCCCGTTCTCTCTCCTCAAACCCCACCAGTGAACTTCCTTTTCGTCGTCGAATATGATTTGACCACAATAAAACAAGCCTCGCACGAATAACCACGATTAGAACGAGAGCGACTCAAATCAATTGGACGGAGATGCGGCGAAATAAGATCTAGCGATCATCAGCACCGCATGCCGCGGGGACCCCAAACTTCGTAACAAAACACGAGGGCAAACCAGCACCAACACACTTGATTCGACTCTTGGCGCGCCGCGGGGGGTCAAGCGGGGAAGGCAGTGACATCACGCCTTGCAGCACAATACACAAAAAACTCTATCTTTCCCCCCCAAGCCCCGATCCGATCCGATGCCGGTTATCCCAGACTGATTCTCCGCTGCGTTTGAAAGCCATGGTGCCACCAAGAAAGAAGTGTACGTTTCTCTCTCATCTTGCCACAAAAACTCCTGTCTCATGTCATGTGTCCTGGCACTACTAGCAACAACCCCGGATTAACGGCAACGAAACAAATGTCAGATCGATCGACCGGCCACGACACGCGACGCAACAACAACACAAAAAATAAACTATTAAGGTTCGGCAAATCATGGAGAACGAAGCATACAACAACAGGACACAAAATCAAACCAGGGACCGGCCTGAGCTACATACAAGAGACGACGAGTGTGTCACCTCACCCGCGGTGGTCAAGATTAAAAAAAAATCCTGCTGTTTCGCACGTACAACGGCCATGCACAATAGGGG